ATTGTTGGATTTTCTTCGGAACAACTTGCTGTTTGGTGTCCTTGGATGTATGAGACTATTGACAATGATCAGTTCATTGTTTCTGGATATGGGAGGTTAGTACATAGGATGATTAAGATACGGTAATTGAAACAAAGATAACAACTTGAATTCCCATTGTTTTCTGTAGTTTTCCTTGCACTTGGTGGTTTTACTGATTTGTTTTGATTTTTTAGGTACGTTGTGGCTATTGTGTTTTGCATTGAGCATTTCTTGATTCTGTGTGCTGTAATTGCAAGATGTTTGGTGTCTGAAAAACCCAAGTGGGTACGCACTGCAGTTGCCAGAGAAAATTATGAGAAAGCACAAGAAGCAAAGAAGAGGAAAGAGAAAACTGAGTAGGAAATCTGGAAAAAAAAAAAAAAAAAAGAACTTGAAAACAGCTGGGAACTTGATACCAATGGTTTGACAATCTCCTTTAATAAATAATTCAACAATTTGTTAAGACTTATTTATAGCTGCACAATTAATGGGAAATTTAATTGTACTCAATACAATGTGTCTGAAGAAGTTACATGAAAAAGTGCACCACAAAATATTCAGCACTACATCTTACATTTGTCAGACCACTGTGGGTGATGCAATGTACTAAATAGAGTTTGAATGAAAGATAATATATTGATGGTGTGAGTCACCGTTTTATATTATCTTTGCCCCAATTTGTTGTTTTTATTAGTTGGAAAAGAGGTGAATTTATCAAAGCAACAAGTTTTTATGATTACCATTGGGTTTCAAATTCTTGATTTATATGAAATTAGTTGTTACCTAACCTCTTTAACTAATACTGGATATTGTTTAAAACTTACAGTAGTTGTAAAATGTACATCCAAAACTTCAACTAAACTGTATACTTAACAAAATTGCTTTTAATCTGCAAGCAAGATTTAGTTGAGTAAATCTAAAGTTCAATTTGTTTCAAAGCTAAGAACTGTACCAATGGCTTGATCTCGATAATAAAAAAGTTGTTTTCACAAGCCACAATAGAGAAATGTGTGTAGGGCCAGGGTGGCTATTAAGCAAATATTTCTTCACCTGAAAACAGGTTAATCTCTGGAACTGTATCCTGGTTTGGTGACATATCTAGCCTCCTTTCTTTTCTGTTAAGGGATTTATTTTCCACCATAGGTGACAAATGAGGAACAACTTGTTCTGGAATTAAAACAAGCCAATGGGTATTTCTTTCTTGCAGTTCAGTGATTTACTCTTACCAAAACCTGGTAAACTAAACTTTTGACCACTGCATGTGCCCATTAAGGTACTCAAACAGTAAGTTAAATTTATAGAAGATATCAGCCACACAACTTAACTACTAGACATTGCAATAAAATCAAAAGCTTAACACCATCTTGGCCCAAGGATTTTTAAAGAGATGACCTTCTGACTTAAAAATTAAAATAATTGCTGCAGTTGTTACGAATCTTGCCTTCTTTTTATCATTTCATGAAAGCAGTTCTAAACAAAGGTCTATATTTCAAGCCCTCATTTTCTGTTTGTTTTGTTTGTAAATACAAAGGAGCTGAGCTATTGCTGAATCTATCAAATGACTAACTTCTTACAAACCTACTGGGGAATATTGCCGCAAGGTTGTGGCATTATGGCTCGAGCAAGTGAGGTTATAAAGTGGTTTATTGCACTTGGACTGACCTTGTTTATCTTGAATTTGTTGCCTTTCACAAACAAAAATACACAGCTTATAACTGTTTCCATAGAAACAGCCCATTTGGAAAAATACTGATCAAGTAACAACCAATCAAAACACTCAGATTTACTTCAGGTCTACCTTGCTATCTAATGAAATACATTATTATGAAAGTTTGGAGTTTACCTCTTTGCGAATCAGAAGAAACATTTGTCCTAATTGGAGTTGCTTGTGGTGATGTTGGATTGGAATTTGATGGAACAACAGATGTGGGAGAAAGAAAACTTCCTGTAAGAAAAAAATAGGAAAATTGCTTAACTCAGCCTTCAAGACAGCTGTGTTCTTTCCAGTGTATAAAAATGCGCAAACGTTTCTTTCTTTATATGATGAAGAGTAACACAAACATTCTCTACCATGGAGTGTAGGGAGGCACTCTCGCCACAACTCCTTTGGCTTTCTTGTAAACTTTCTTGCATTTGCCCTGATTTTAAATTGTTTTGAACTGAGGCTTACCATTTCGAAGGAGATTACTTGAAGAACAGTTGTTGTTTCTCGAGTTTTCGACGTCGGGAACAATTGGGATTGGTGATCGTGTCGAAGGCCTTCTAGTTGGCAACAGAAATGGTGAATTTGGAACATGATGAAACAGGAATGGAGAATGCGTGTAAATAGACGGTGCAGTCATCCTGTTTCAGTAAGAATGGTTTCAGTTAACTTTTCTGTGTAGATGTAAAAGATAGGCTGATTCTATTAGTCCGTCAAATTAAATTAAATTTCTTACGTTAAAAGCTCATGAAATTTAGCATGAGGAATTTTCAAGTTCATCTCATTGTTGGCAAAAAAAATTGAGTCGGGAGAAATTTTAAGAAATGCCTTCCTCCCTACTTGTAAAAGGCACTGGATCAGTCAGCCAGATTTTAAATGAGGAGAATCTCAAGGAAATTTGTACCTCGAAGACTTTGCATCCATAAAACAGATATGTGGGTCCAGTGAAAAGGCGGGACATCTGATTACGAAAACTGGAAGGTATGGTTGGACAAAAATTTTTCCCCTCGACAAATATACAACAGGAAATTAATGGTTACCTGTCTTGAACAATGAAGACTATAAGAACGATTCACAACTTCCTGCTCGGCAAGTTAAATTCCGTCTTGCTATTCTCTGGAAACCTTTGCACAGCATGGATCTCAGCGCTCTGCCGCTCTTTTTTCGCGCCATTCTCGATCGGCAATTAGCCGACGGTGAGGTCGGAAAAACTTAGCCAATCATTTAATTTGTAGTACATTATCGGAAATATGAAAGCCATTGCCGGGAGATGTCGGCTAAAATCGGAATTTTCCTTCAGTCCTCACGCGGTTAAGCTGACGCGTCGAAGACGAGACTACGTATACCTGGGAGTATTGAGAGCGGTTTTGGAAAGATTCTGCAGGTTTGATAACCAAGGAGGGTGTTTCAAGGGCGAATTTTACGAGCCTTATTGGTAATGGATGGTTTTACGTTGCTGATAAGCGAAGAAAAGTATCTAAAGGCATTAAAACAGTAGTATTTATTTGTAAACATGATGACTTTACGTGCAAGGTTTCTGGATTTTCGCGCGGTACCGCTGTAGTGTTACTCAAGATCATTCAACTAGTCAATCCAGATCTTTCGGTAAGTATGACTTAAGATATGTCATGCCAAGAACTGACTGTGTACAAAATTTATCGAACATTAGCTTAATCCAGGAACTGGAGACGTTTTCCAGGGGGGTTGGTTGGGTAAGCAGAAGGGGCTCATGGGTGATAATAATAATTTAATAGTTAATAATAATAATTTATTAATTTATAGTGTGCTTTTTAACATGTAATGATCAAAAGATTTCTGTCGCAGATTTCTTGGATTTTGTTTTAATTAAATTTTCAGCAGATTAATGGTTCTCTAGTTATAGTTCACACTTGCTGTGTCCATGGGCAAATCTAATCACTCCAATAATCCCTGCAGATCTGTGACCTGTGGCCACAAAAGTCTTTTTCTGGAAATCTCGCATTGAAGATGTGCTAAGTGCAACTGTCAAGAAAACTTGGAAAAGTTTAAGGGTTACCATGAACAGTTTAGTATCCCACCAAGGAAGGAGAGGCATTGCTCCCAGTAGCATGAGATCATACTGTCAGGCCCTTGGCATTGAAATTGAACTCCTTTGGCAGTAACTTAGCACTGGATTTATTTAGGATGTACTCTTGTGTATGCATAGGGGTTGAGGGGGAACTACCAGGAAACCAGTTCTATCTAAATTATATATAACAATGTTGACGTCATAGTTTGTTTTATGAGTAACATTGTCGTCTACAGTCTCATTTCTTTTTAAAGACTTAGATAATGAAAATTAATTAAATCCATTTATTAGCATTTCATTGGCTTCGATAATCATAATTTCATCACTGTCATCATTATTATAGTCATCACTATCCTTCTATTAACTGTTGTTCTGATGGTGACATCCTCCTCAGAAAGAATGCTATATCAGCAACACAGGGGCATAAAATCACACACCAGTACTAAGAAGAAAACCATTGCAACATACTCAAAGAATCAACCAGTCCAATTGCCTAAGAAGGAGCACTTTCTTACACCTGATACCCCAGAAATAGACTGGTTACCACGTTCCAAGGAGCTGACCTGGAAAAGAGACATGAGCAAAAAAGGTACAATTCAGATAATTTTCGTAATCATGAAAATCACAATTTCCTTGCTTGTGATTAATTGGATAAAACTCTCATTTCCCACCAATTCCCTTGCCAGTTTGTTATCAGACAGTCTGGAATTTTTATCCGTTAAAAAAATATCATTGTTTGAACAACCAGTGTGATTTACTCTTGTTGACATAATATTCACCAATGAGTGTGGTAACTTGAAATACTCACAAAAGTTATGTGCATCAGTTTACCAGGGTACTGGAGACATGCTGCAGCAATGATATCAACCATTTTAAAAATTTGTTTTTTTTTTTTTAAAGGCTCTACAACACTCACTCGACCAGCAACCAGACAGGGGTCTACTCTGGCACTCAGAAATATAAGCAATATACCATTCGAAAAAAATTTAAGCCAAACACCATGCAGACCACAGTCAAGGCAATCTAGTAAGAAAATCAAAATAAATTCCACTTTATTAAACCTTGAACTCTGAGAAGTGATTAACATCTTGCTTCTCCCTCTAATATCCACACAGTAGTCAGGAAACAAATAATGAGAATAAGACAATTTGGTTTTATCAACTAAGTTGAAATTCATATAATACACGATCCTCGCAGCAGATAGCGCTATCTACTGTGAGGATCGTGTATCATATGTATCTAATACCGCAGTACAAAATATATGAACTTCATATATTTCATTGTATCTCATTTATCACTTTCACGAGTTTATTACGAATCAACTTAACGGCCTGCTCCCAGTTGGCTTGTTAGCTCAATTGGTAGAGCGCTGCACTAGTATCGCAGAGGTCAGTGGTTCGAGTCCCGTACAGGCCTGATTTTTTTCAGGTCTGATTTTCGCTATTGCTTAAATAGCGCTATCTACTGCGAGGATCGTGCATCATA